ATTCCTTTTTCTGTTTACCCCATCTTATTCCTATGGTCAACAAATATGCCTTCTGGAATTCATTTCCTTTTTATCTATCTTGATCCTTCACACAACTCACCAAGATTCCTTCACCCTCTAAACTTGTTAGAGTCCTAATCATTATTTTTGGTTTCTTTATCTCCCATTATCCTGTCAACATCCTGAAGACTTTTACCTTATTGCTTTGCTGACACTGAATTCAAAATCCATGTAGATCTCCTTTTTTTCCATATTCATCAGTGTCCTCTTCCCAGTCTATATTTCTGACTGCATTTAAAAAAAATATTTTTATTGTTTTCAGAGAGGAAGGGAGAGAGAGAGAGAGAGAGAGAGAGAGAGAGAGAGAGAGAGAGAGAGAGAGAGAGAGAGAGAGAGAGAGAGAGAGAGAGAGAGAGAGAGAGAGAGAGAGAGAGAGAGAGAGAGAGAGAGAGAGAGATCAATAATGAGAGAGAATCATTGATAAGCTGCCACCTGCAGGCCCCTCACTGGGGATCAAGCCCGCAATCTGGGCATGTGCCCTGACTGAGAATCAAACCGTGAACTCCTGGGTCATAGGTGGATGCTCAATCCCTGAACTGCGCCAGGCAGGCCTGACTGCATTTTTTTTACTTCCTCCTTTCTTAATATTTTTAGTTCCCCGATTTCATATCTTCTCATGATTCTTTCTCCTTTGTGGACCCCCTCCTATTGTTTTGCTTTAGTTTTTGGACTCTACCTTTCCTGTATCTTTTGAATTACATTAAAAAATAAACAAACCTATTTTCCCCTGCTCAGGCCATTATTGCTGCTTGCCTGGAATACTGTATAGGCTTTTAACTTGTCTTCTTACTTCCAGATAACTTCTCATTCATCCTTCGTGTAGTATTCTTTATTTCTACTTAAATATCCCTCAAGTATACTGATTGTTTATACACAAGCCATATAATATCATGCATATTTCTCAATATGAAATTCAATACATTACAAAGCCTGACATAAAACTAAAACTAAAACAATTAGTGGTCTTCAGACTTATTAGAATCATCTTTGGAATTAAAAAAAAATCATTAAATGATGAACCTTACTTAACCTGGGAGATTTAAATTTGGTAGTTCTGTTCTGAGGGCTGGTTATCTTAATAAAGCTCCCCAAGTGATCCTGACCAACACCGCTGAAAAATCATTGCCCTATTTTCCTGTCTCCATGACTTGATTACCATTTTCACTCCATAGCCAGTATCTTCCTTTCTTCCTTTTTAAAAATACATTTTTATTAATTTCAGAGAGGAAGGGAGAGGGAGAGATATATAAAATCATCAGTGATGAGAGAAACATTGATTGGCTAACTCTTGCAAGCCCCTCACTGGGGATCAAGCCTGAAAGCTGGGCACCAGAAATCAAACTGTGACCTCCTGGTTCATAGGTCGATCATCAGCCACTGAGCCATGCTGGCCAGGAAGTATCTGTTTTTCTTGCTTTCTCTTTCAATACTTTTATATCTTCCAATACCCATCCCTAATTTTACATCCTTCATGAAGTCTTCCTTGTTCATCCAAGCAGATGTAACTATTTCTTCTATACTGCAGTGACAGTAAACTTTCATTAGATTATATTTATATCTAACAACCTCTACATAATACCGTTCTTAAAGGCAAGGTTTTGTTATTTATAATATAGAAACCACTCAGTGAAGGTCATTGACTATCGGGATTATTGGTAGATACATTCTACACTCTCAGAATAAGCATGAATTACATTTTTGCTAATTTAACCAACGTCCAAAAGCATAAAGTGCAGAAGCTTTAATTCCAGAACTATGCTAAATTAAGCTTTGCTAATCATGCTAAGTAGGAGAAAGGAATTAAAATTTTAAATGCCTCTACTGTTTTCAGCAGCAGATGAGCTAATATTAAATATAGCGGTGGATTGGTTCTTTTAACTCCCACACTTCAGGTGTTGTAAAGCATGTGGATCTCTTTGGATTCCTCATAAAAACTGTCACATTGGCATGTGGCTATACAATATGCTTTAGTCAGAAACTGTAGTTAGTAAGGCAGAGTTTTTCAGTAGTTCCTTTGTCACAGGGGAATACTTTTACTAACTCAGACTTGTTGAAATATAGAGTGCAGTGTCATTTTAATAGGGAATCAGAGTGTAAGCACAGTGATTTAATGTGGTTACTAGAGGCTGTATCCAAAAACAATTTCTGATTTTTGTCAAACAATCAGCAAGGGAGTGCTTTTTACCTCTTTTTTTTTTTTTTTTTGGTGCGTGTATGTGTGTGACTTCACCAGTTGTGTTCTTGTTAAATCTTTATACTCAGGATTCGATATTCTCACTACAGTTTTGTGTTAGTATCTGATCAATAAAAATTGTGACTATTTCATTTGGGATATATGCAAATGTATCTGTAATTAATTTAGTGCCCTTTAAGTTGATTTGTGGTTTTGTTCTATTGAAAGGATATCTATTTTTTCAGCAAAGCATTTGGATTTTGTAGCAAGCCTAGTTAATGAATAAAGGTTTAACCTCTCTGATACAAGACACGGTTCTGGTTTATCCCGGGTAAAATTATTAAATTCACAGGAAGACAAAATTTTCCAGGTATATTAACTGGAAAATAGTCAATATAATCTCTGGCTTTTGGCTTTTTATAAACTTGTAGGTTCATAGGAACTTTATGGAACCATCTAGCTCTTTCCCTGACTTCAGTCAGGACTGCATCTGAACTACTCAAAAACCTCTGAAAGCAACGTCAAATTTCCTTCAGAAAATGTTTCCTATATTTAAAGTTAATCACATTTATTTTTGTGAAGTTATTCCTAAAAAACAGCTGACACCCATAACAGGAATCAAAAGAGAAAATATTGGGAAACATTTGAAGATGGCAAATGAATAATGAATGATGATACTTAAGCAGCAGAGAGATTCGTTAGCATAGTAAGAAGGAGCAATATCTAGCAAAACCCTGGGAACACCTGGCTAACTTTTCTTGACCCAAACAGTAGTAACTTACAATTTGTTCAACATTTGTACAGTTTCCATGCATATCACCTCACTTAATCCTTACAGCAACCCTGTGAGGTGGGTGCTATTAATAGCCCCATTTTATAGATAAGGAAACTAAGCTAAGAAGAATAAATGGTTTATATTTAAGTACATACCTGGTAAGTGGTACATCTGAGATTTCAAATCCTCTGATGCCAAACCACAGTACCAAAGCTATTTTAAAAAATAGTAATTTTTCAAAGAACACCTTAAAAAAGTGTCTGCCAAGACAATGACAGCAGGGTACAAACCAGAAAGGTCACAAAACCTCTCCTGAAGTTTTCCATCAATGGATTGAATAAGCAAAAGAATTTCAAAAGTCTGTCAGGAAATTAATTTATGCATGAAACACTGAACTCTTTAAAGTAAAATGATACACAAGCTCAAGATACTGCTATTTTTCTTTTTTATTTGTAGCCAATGTTTTATTTTTATGCCTAGAAAAATACATGGGGGTACTTAGACTAATCGTGCTGGGCAATTTGCTACTTTAGTGATAGTAACATAATCCCGAAAAAGCAAGCACAACTATTTTGTACTTTTTTTTTGTTTTATTCAGCAATAAGACCATAATTTTTCATATTTAAGGAAGTATGAAAAATTTGTCAAATTTTAGAAGCTGAATACATGTAGCGTTGGATCAAGGCACATACAAGACTGGCCAAAGGGCGTACAATGCACTTTGGTTTTTTTTGTTGGGGAAAAAAAAAATCATGGCAACAGAAAATGATGTGGTTTTTAAACAAGTAATAGCTCACAATTCAGTAGGAAGCTAGAGAGAAATGTTACAAGTTCATTACCAGTATGTAATATCTGGAAAACAGTGATAGTAATGGGCAGTAATCTTGATTGTTGTGAAAGTAAATTGAACATTTATGTACAGTGTCAAAACATTTCACTTAAACAGAATCTAAGTTTGATTTATAGTATTTATTTTTCTTTTAAATGCTCACTTATTTAAAGTACTACTTTCTCTGCAGTGTTGAGGGGAATTTCTTATTGTGATGCTACCTTTTTAATATGTATAAGGTTTGTTTGACATCCTTTGTGATAAAAAAACATTATAAAAACTAACAATTATATCTTTAGAGTTCACTTTTCAAAAATGAGAATGGTATAGGCAAAACCAAAATGCAATTCTGACATCTGTGTTCACTAGGCTATTCAAGTTTAAGTTCTTATGTTTTTCTAAGTACAAGTTTTTTCCCCAACTTGGAGACATGCTTACTTTATTGTTTTTGTGAAGTCCTTTATTCTCAAAGTGTTGTTAATATCAGACCTCACACTCCTTTTCAGCCAGCTGATGTATTCAGTTCAGAAGATATACTTGCTTTCTTAAGGATTTCTAGTTTTCTTAGACTGAAAATGGAGATATGCAGCAAGTTTGATATTGCCCATTACTTCACATATTTTGATTTATTGAAAACAACTGGGATAATACAAATTTAATAATTGGAACATTAATTCATAAATATTTTTTGAAATTTAATTTTTCTTATTCAGCCAGGTATTATTTTTTTTACATTTTATTAATACCAAAGTGAAAAATGGCCTGTGCTTATACTACAAGGATCTCATGTGAATGCAGTCCTGATTGTTCAACACAGCAAGAAAATTCACTTTCACAGTCAACAAGTCATCTTACTCAGTAGAACACAAAGTAAATGGTTTATAACTTCAATATTTGCAAGGAAAATACAGTACAAATTACTAAAAAATACTAAAATATAGAATTGTGTTCAGGCATCTCCACTACATCAATCGCAGCAGTCACCTGATATTTGAAACTTTTAATAAAAAGTTCTTAAATATAAATTATATGGCAAATGTACAGTACATTGCTTTTTTTTCCAGTCTCTTTTTCCAGTGTTTTGCAGTAGAACAGGGTTCCTACCATCACCTCCCTTAGGTTTTAAAAAACCCGAGACATAGTCTGCTGCAAGTCCTCCAGCATCATGAGTGTGAGTGGTCTGAGTCTGGGATACCACTGTCTCTGTAGCTTCGGTTACTACTGCTTTCACTGTGATTGTTTTTGTACAGATTCATTCCATTGGGAGGAAATATGGTATGTATTACAAATTCCTCCTTTGAGATCTGTTCATTGCTTATTGGTAACATTTGAAAAGAAGTCTCCCTGATTTCCAGGATGGAGTTGTCCTTCTTAGTGCCAGCTTCCGCATAGTCATCCTTTCTTCGCCTCCCTTTGCTGTATGCACAGTTCCTTGAGAAGAGCGACCCGTTCCTATGAACATACCAGCACACTAAAGCAAGAAGGGCAATGGTCACCAGGGCCACAGCCCCACCAATAATGGCAGCCAGTGGCCAACTGGGGTTTTTGTAAGGTTCTTTCTCTTGCTCTCGATTCAGGGTGGTCGTAGGGTTGTACATTCGAAGGGGTGCAGTTTCAGTCTCAATACAAACAGGAGTTTCATCAAACAGGTAGAGGTTACTGGTTTCCATGGGAACCAGGCAGACGCGATAGGGTGAATCCGGCTCCAGGGCCGTGACCAGGTATTCACTGCGTTCCCCTGTTACAATGGTTTCCGTTATAGATCCAAACGCTGGGCTGTGGCCCAGTTTGAGCCAGCTGAGTCTCAAAGCCGTCATAGGGAGGACAAGTTTCCAAGAGATATGAATTGTGTCAGCGGTGACAGCTTTCACAGTAATTACAATGGTCTTTCTCGCTGGACTCCCCGTGGTTCGTTGATCCTTAATGAGCTTGGGGCTCTTCATGTCGGGTTGTTTGGTCACTGGAGCAGGCCACTGTCCTTGGGCCGGATACACCGTGTTGGGTATTGCCGTGGTTACCTGAACGGTGCTCGCAACTGCACGGTCCTTACAATCAAACAGTTCTGCGTTGAGGTCCTTGATAGCCATCCCCCGCACTTTTTCTGGGGCTTGACACATGAGCCCGCGCACATTGACCTTCACAGGCAGTGACTGTAACCAGTCCCGTACCCATTTCATCTTGCACCCACAGTACCACGGGTTGTTGCGAAGAATCAGTTGGGTTATGTTGTCCAAGTCATCAAAGATACCCTGAGGTAAATTACTTAGGTTATTGTTGGACATATCAAGTCGATACAGCTGCCTTAGATAAGAGAAAGCATTCGGGGGCACCCGGTTGATGTGGTTATCTTGAAGGTAAAGCCTCCTCAGGTTGGAACCTGGAAGGTTTACTGGCGCAGCGGTCAGGGAATTCCGCACCAGTGACAGTTCTGTTAAGTTGACTAGGTTGAAGAACACTTTATCACCTAAGCCATGGTTGTTCAACAGGTTTCCATCCAAAACCAGGCGTTTTAGGCTGGTGAGACCTTGAAGAGATGGTGATGAGATGGTGGATATGCGATTATCATCCAAGCGTAGTTCTTCTATCGTCCTGGGCAAACCCCAGGGGATTGTGCTAAGGTGATTACGGGACAGAAAAAGCAGTCGGAGATAGTTACTGTCTCGGAATGCCCCCTCTTCGATGCTCACAGCAGAGACGGAGTTATCATCTAAATGCAATTCTTCCAGATAGGGAATTTTAGAAAGTGAGTCATAAGTGATGGTCCTTATGTTATTTTCTTGCAAATGTAATTCTTTTACGTACTTTGGTAGGTTGGTAGGAAATTCATCCAAACTGTTGCGGTATAGGTATATTCTTTCTACTTTCTGCAACTTTTTCAAATCTGAAGGAATCCCAGCATTATTTATTTGGTTGTTCTGCAGGTAGAGAGTTGTAGCATCCTCTGGTATTCCTATTGGAATGGATGTCAGAGAGCGATCGTTACAGTAAATGAAACCTGCATCACAGCGGCACGTGGTTGGGCAGGATTTAGCCATAACTGAAAGAGGTGCCATCTGAAGGATCAGCCCAATTTTAGTCCCAATGAGGAAGATGCTCCAGGCTGGGCTGATCATGGTCAGCAGTGTTGAGGTCTTTATACCAGGTAGCTTCAGAGCCCTGCAATGCAGTGAGTTAAAAAAAAAAAAAGACAGAAAGCAATCAGATCAGCATACTTCAGATTATATTCAAAATAGATGTGGAAATTAAAATATCTATAATCACTTCTAATATTTTAAATTTTTTTGCATGCTTAGGATTTTGTGTTTTTGTTTGTTTGTTTTTTGTTTTTTTGCTACCTAACAAACAATGAACACAATCTTAAATGTTTCCGATATTTATTAAATTAAGAAGTATCATGTCCCAAACCCTTTTGGCTTGAAATGTTAAATATAATTAATGTTTTGCTGAATATTTGAAAGCATTTTTACTTGATATCAATTCTGTAGCCAGTCACTGACCAGGCTGATCAAATACTTATTTTTTTCTTAATATTCAGAATGAATTGACACATAAGAATATAATTTGTTTCATTTAAAGATAATAATGTTACTGTTTTTAAAAACCAATTTTTGGTCTACTTTTTGTGAAGTTGACTGTACAGGAATAGAAATGTATAGTAAAAAAATAAATTCTTTTACTATTTAAGAATAGGTACACACCTTTTGAGGTCTTGAATCTCAGTAAAGCTAATTATTTGCTTTCATTACTTATGTTATTTCTTTTTCTTTTATTATTTTATTAAACATTGTTAGATTGGTATTTCTAGCAAGAAAAGCAGATGAAATCTCCACCTACTTTAGGGAAAGAATGAATTACATAGCTAATGCATCCAACTAATGAAATTCCATGTCAAGTTACACTAGGTCTTGCCATTGTTCCCACTTTGTTATATGTTTTGTACTACACGGTTTAATGGCTTTGTGCACTTTTTTTTTCATTATATTTTATCTCACAATATGTTTTCACAATGCATTTATCTTTCTTCAAGTGCTAATCTAGATTATGATTCAACTTTCTCCATGGCTTGAGAATTATAGATTCAGACTGATCTATTGTGTAATATAATTTCTTCTGTACATTTAGGTATCAATTAGCCTTTATAATTTCAGGCATGAAAATAAAAGACTTCCTACCTTATTGAACGATGTGTGTAAATTTTGCGTGAGTGAAAAATCCAATGCACATGTATTGTTTTCCTGGTGAGGGGATGGGACTTATAAACTCTTGTTTAGTCCTTGGAAATGCTCTTCACTGTTTATTCAAGTAATCCTATGACGCACACACCTCCAGATCAGGCTCGCTGTTGTCAATGAACATTCCAGCTGTGGTTCAGCATGGTGGGCAAGCTCATTAAAGTGGGGGCCAGAAACAATTCAGCTTCCTGTTACCATGTAGAACACATGGCTTCCTATGTATTTTTTTCTCTTTCTGATAGAGTTTCTGTGTGAAGGTTTCTTTTGTGTAGCTTAATTCCCTTAGTGGAAATTGCTTTCTTTGAAATTCTTATTGGCTCTTCTGTGCAATGTGTTCAGAGATAGTAACTTCAGATCCTCATGAAGAAAGCCATTCATGATGCTAAGGCCTGTATAGTAATAGGTTTTTCAGGCAGTTACCCCCCACCTTTATTCCCATCCAGGGTTATCCAAGTATAAACTTTGTACAGTAGCTACATCCTGAGGTATGATTACCTGCTGTGAAATAGCTATTTCCAGCTTTTGCTTCTTGCTGCTTTCTTAGAATATCTGGTGTAGTCACGTTATGCAAGAACAGGTATTCTTTTTTAGGAGGTAAAGGAAACTTAATTCAAATATTCTTCATGGAAAAAAGAAGGAAGCATAATAGATTTCCTTTATATTTCTCTTCCTTAAAGCATACTGGGTCTGAGCATCTCCTGTGAAAGTAAAATGCTTTAATGAACTTCTAATAATAATCTTTAACATATTAGAGAGACTTCCTAGAAATTTAACTTTTTTTCTTTAAGCAAAATACCTTTTATCACAGTAGTTAGTGAAAAGGGATAATATGAGCTCTTTGTTTTTTACTTCCCATTTTATTATATTAATAATGTAAGAAATGAAGTTGAGATAGTCACCAAAGAGATACTTTGTTAACTGTTCATTAATATCATTTTGAATTAAACACAGATCAAAGTTTCATTTAAGAGGCTGTAAGCCCCTTCCATGGCTTTGGAATTCAGGTCAGGCCAATCTCTGAGAGTTCACTTTTAAATCTTAGATATAAAATGATATAAAGTGTATAAAAAGAAGAAAACAATTATATGTCAAAGAGATAAATACAGAACAAAGATTTTTTCTTTTTTCCAGAAATACCATGGTGACTTTTTAAACATTTCTGGACATGGTTTTACAAAATTATACAATCCACAACTTAAAGAGCTGAAAAAAGTTTACTGTAGACACTTTTCTTTTGATTTGCTCAACGCCCTGTTTCATTCTTCCCGTGGGCCTCAGTTTTCCCAAGTGCAGAATGTGTACTCCATCACCTTCCTCCTTGGAGGGGTTTTTGAGTTGATGATCTTAAAACTCCAGTTATCAGATTTTCTTGGCCAAAAGTCATAATTTGTTTTTCAGGAGAATGTAATTTTATTTTAGCAAATGGGAAAACTGTGTTTGGAGTAGAAAGGACAGTATTTTCATCAGTATCCTTGGAATGAACATTAGGAAAGCATATCAGACCTGACAAGGCATTTCTCTCTAGGTTCCAATATGGACAGCAGGGTATTTTTTATTTCTGAAACAAGACTGAAGACTTGACCTAAGAGATCGCTGATTTTAATGATGACTGCTTTGTCCATTACCTAATATACATGAAGTAGTGTGTTTTTGTTATTGTTGTTGTTTTTTGTTTTGGGTGGATGGGGGAGATGGGTAGGATCAGTGTCTGTAATCCAAGGTTATCTGTTCAGTGGTTTTCTGTATATTTAGGGAACATCTGAGTATCATGGAAATATTTGACCCTGAAATAAAGGGAAAAAAAGCAGAAGCAATTTGCTTCTTCCCCTGTAATTACCTAGCATCCAACAAGGATAGCATCTGTTCCAGAATTCAAACATGACTGAAAGTGAATGTTAAACAAGGCCAAATTTTGTGTTTCTGGTTGTTTTGGAAAATTTAGTATATTTTAATTTGTTATCAGAAACCAATGCTACCATAAACTGCATTAACAAAAGAAAACTTTAAACAGTTGCAGATAAATTTATTTTTTAGGCAACATAAAACAAAAATAGCAGTTAGCAGTTGGCTAAAGTAGTCTCAAGTGGGTATTGCAATGTGCCCACAGAGGAATGTTTAAATGATTTATGGTTTAATGTGACGTTTTACTGTAATACCTTCAAGGCTTTGCTCATTATTATTGTTGAATTTCTACAGTGCATTTTTTTTCTTGAAAACTGTTGCTTTTTTAGTATGTGAAAATGGAAAACCAAAATGTTGAAATTATAATGAAAAAGTTACTTTAAAAAGTTTCTGCTGTAAATGTTTTATAAGCTTGAAAATTATATAAAGTATAAAATAATTTAGTTAATTTAAGCTTAGGAAAACAATTACTTTTGTTAAATTGAATTAGAAACTTATTAAAAAAACAATATAAAAATCTTAAGTGAGAACCTGCTTAAAATCTTACCAATAATCAGGCATTTCTCATACTCAAGTACATATACTCCAAAATTGAGAAGATGAAGCTGATGAGTGGAGATTTTTAAATTGTAGATTGTTCGAGTCAGGTCAGCCACAATTATGTCTAAGGTGATAATTAATGATAATCAGAGGTAAAGCTTATATGTAACTATAAATATTTCACCAAATCAAGCTCTAAGAAAAATATACATATAGATTGATTGACTTACACATTTTTAGCATAAAAAAAGAAAAATAATCCTAAATGGTGTGAACAGAAGGAAGACTAATGTGTTTATATTCTCTGTTTTACAATGTGAAGCTGCTCCCCCTGCTCCTTTTGATATGTAAACTTATGTTGCCATTAATACAACAGTGGTAATAATATGGGATTAATGGAAAGCCTTAAATCTCATTAAATTCTTGGAAAATGCCATTCTCTTCTCCCCTAAACTGCACTAAAACAAAAAGCAAAAACATCAAACAGGCTTCTCTGGACGTGAAGATTCCCTCCCTGATCCCTATTCCCTTTACTTGAGCTCAAAACAGTTCAATTCATGTTTGATTTTTTTTTTTTTTTTTTTTTTTTTTTTTACATCTTCTCCTTTCCTTTTATATTTGAAACTATAGTGCTAACCAGCTTTTGCACATCAAAGGGTGTAAAGATCTCTCCACCCAAAACAAGCAATCCTGTCCCCAAGCTTAGACTTCCCTCTCTCTGTCCTGGCTCTACATATTCACCCCCATGGAGACATGTAGGTGAATGTGAATGATGAAAGGAAAAATGACCCCACCAGCATGGACACTGTGGCCCAGGTTTCCACAACGTGGACTTCGGAGCTTTTATGTCCATTTGCATAGGCTTGAAAGAGGCCATTACTTCTGAACAACAACAACAACAAAAAGACCTTTTAGAAAAAAATATTATTAATGGGGTAACTTGGGGAAAAATATAAATGGAGACCTGGCTACTTAAAGAGATGTTTTAAAATTATTTTTAAGTGGAATTAATAATTTAGTATGTTGTATTTAAAGGTGCAGCCAAAAGAAGAAAAACATAATCACTTCACTGGTAAATCAAATTTTTAATAGGGATCTTTTTTATTCAGTTTATTTTTATAAACAAAAATTGTGGAGTTTTTTTTTCTAAATTGCATTTATAATGTAATCATCAAGTCTGAAAAAAACTCCAATTTATTTTCATGATAAACATAATAAAGTATGTAAATAGATAAGCATGCTATCATTTTTAGATATTTTATGAAAATTAATTTAAGAAGTTGAACCTGAATAGAAAACTGGTATTTAAATAAAATCAAGAAATTGGGACAATCTACATGTTAATGTGATTCCTTCTCTTTTCCTCTGCAAGATTTTGAAAGTGGGAATGTTTGAGTTGAGAAGGTATTTTCTTGTTTTTTTCACTTAGATAAAGGTTA